CAGTTGCATGAAGTCGAATTGCAATTAGTTTATACTTACGTTCGCGATGAAGACAGGGTATTGTTTCAATGAAAATGGTAGGAGGATTCCAAGGCAACAATGCTTCACCATTGAGTAACACTACATATTTCATTTGATAATTATCGTTATGCGACAAGGTAGGAATGGTAGGCATAGGTTCAAGGCAGATTTGACCGCACTTGAAATTATGGCCACTGTTCATCCTTTGTATAATTAGAGGCACATAAGCCTTTAATTGATGTTAAAGGAAAATTTCAATCACGATGTCAAAAAACGGTGGCAGAGAGGGCAAGTAAAATGGAGAGTCGAATACCACCGTTCCAGACAACCTTTGTGGAAAATATGCGAACAGCACAGGTCATATGTACACAACATCACCAGCTCGCATTTCTTCCAGACAAACGCAGCTAAACACAGTTTGTCAATACAATGCCGGATATTCCGAAGACAAGCAAATACTTACCAGGAATCTAGCTCCGGGGGATGGCTAGCCAAAGCTCCCTTGCGAGATTGCCGCGGCAGAGTCTGCAGTTCCACAAAGCCCGGAAGACGACGCACGTGCGATGGACCATTAGCTTGACAGGTATTCGACCTTGCAGGTCGATTGCCCCGGGTAGAGATAGCCAATTTGCACATCGTCGTCCTAGGTCGAGGCTGGTGTAAGCGGATATCCAATAAATTTCTGCTGTGATGTAGCAAACCTACATGACAATGATAATGAGAACGAAGAAGGCCACAATGGGTAAAACTAAGGCCATAACCAACTGCACGTCTTTGTTGGTATCTGGACCACGCTTGGAAGGGCTCTTGGTCATTGGCATCCGGATCCCGGCCATAGTTTCGTGACCTTTTCTCTGTAACGCTTAAGTGATGGAGCAGCGAAGTTTTTCAGACATTTGATCAGAAGTAACGTGAACTAATCGAGCTCTTGTTTACTTGGGATGGGTTTACTTTGGTTTTTAACTACAGCTGAGCGAGTATCTCACGATCCTGGTTGTTGGCTGCTCTTCATTTTTTTCTGCCGGCGGGTTTCCGTTCGCAGGAAAAGCAGCATGTACTACGGTCGTAGCAGACGGAAGGTTAGCTCGGAGGGTCTAACGTAGCACCGAAATATTAGTGTACGTACCATGACAGGCAAAACCTGTCTAGGGTTCCGAAATGAATAAATAAATGCGATGAATAAATAAATTGTATTTGCGCGACGCGAATCGTCATACTATTTATTTAATTCATATTCCGCGCGTTAATAGCTTTCCGTTTCTCCGGTTCCGGTATTTTTTAACACTGACTAGCGTTTTAAAATACCTACCCGTACGGGCAAGTATATTTCGCTGAAACCCGTGGACTGCACAGATTGTAAAATAGCGGGTTTTGTCATTTTAGAGAATTAGATAATGACGAACTGAGGGAGTGGTCAAATACAACTAGGACCCTAGAGAAATGGCTCTCATTCTATTCGAAATCTGAAACTTCCGCGATACATACTTTGTCAAGTGCTATGTAAAAAAAAAGAGAAATAAACAAATAAATAAGGAAAAAGCCGACTAGCATTGGCCCGGAACGCTTGATCTAACTTCTCTTCCCCTTTAAAAACGCCAGCCCCTCCTCCTCATCACCTTGCAGGTTTTTCTCCGCCACTTTGATCACGATACTTTCGGGCCGTTTACGAGTCATCAAGGTTTCCACTCATACCTTCGAGCGAATGTCCCGATCGAGGAATGCGACGAAGTAATCGGCCTAGAGTTGACCAAATGCCACCACTCCCGTCGTTATCGAAGCTGCTTCACCTACGCAGATATCGCCCCTCGGAATATCATAGTGGACAATGAGAAGGTCCCTGCGATCGTTGATTGACAATTTGGCGGCTGGTACCCGGAATATCGGGAGTATACTAAGGCACACTATGGTCAAATTGATCGGCCAGAGTGGTATGATGGATTTGGAAATGCTATGGAGAAATATGACGACGAGCTCAAAGCGGAACAAACTATCTGGAGGCGATTGGACGAGCCACAACTTCTCTGATGAGGGAGTGAGCATCTGATTCCGAACCTCTGCCTTGCGTGACAGTATCAAGACATTGAGATCTGAGGCGTCTCGCAAGTCATATACGCCGACCAGTGTAATTGATGCTAGCGGGCGTAGACTCGCTGCTCTGCAAGCGTTGATCCGCGAAAGCAAGCGACTCATCCATAAACCGGTCAAGGTCGAATTCCTCTACGAGATCGTTCACCTGAAACTTGCAAATGACGGCTCTCGTCCAAGTGACGCAGTTTTGCTCCGGCAGAGCACTCTTTTGAGGAAGTGGAATCGCTCCGAGAAGGCCGTGGATTTCCGCGTAGGTAACCTCATTGGGCACCTTCCCAATCATGATCCTTCCAAGAAGGTGACCGCTCTTTTCTGGATTGATGTTTGCTTTTTCTCGAAAGACCCAGTTGCCTTCCGTGTCAAGATTGACTCTGCGCACCGGATCGAGGAGAATTCCATCTGTCGCGTCGAAAGCATAGCAATCTGCACGCGGTCACCAAAACTCCAGAGATCTACGCAGGATCCTAACCCCAAGACGCCTTACCGGAACTTTTCATCGTCTCAAGATCGATTGGTACCCAGGCCGAGGTAGACGGACGGGAAAACAGGGTTTCTTCGCAGCAACAGACAGCGTCATGCGCACCGAGAATAGCTAGGAGAAACGCTATGCTCCTCCTCACCACATCTCTCCGGTTATTTCTGGTTTCTTCGTCAAAACTCACGTCGGAAAATGAAAGCAATGGAATCCCAAAGCCAGCATAGCCACCCTAGTGAAGACTATGACCTAGAGCAGTCAGGCTCCTTGACAGATTCTCGGAGCAGCGATGATGAAGCCTGGTGCGCTGGTGACGGTATTTGTCAGCGAGAAACTCAGTTCCAATCATGTTACCAAGCAAGTCTAGACTCTTGGAATCAAGCAGCATCTAGTCACGACGGACCAATTAATTCGCTAGATATGCATTTGAAGGCTTTTTTAATCTTAAATCTCCGTGCCGGAGCACCACTGCTGTTAATCATCTCACGGCATCGGCATTCCAGACTCCACATTAACCCAGCCAAAAATAACTTCAAACTTCAAATGGTTGTCCCGTTCGATCGATAGAGGAAATGTTCCCCGTGTCTACAGGTTTCCATGTAAGCTATGTGCTTTCAGTCGCCTTAAAGATACTCTCTGTAGAAAATGATTTTGCTTGAGTCATGACGTAATAAAAGTGTGTCTCTGGGGTCCCGGCACACAGTGGCATTAGAAGAGTGTGGGAAGTAAACTGGACTAATAGGCAGGTTGCGTTTGGTAAAATGTCTGCTTTCCCCCGCCTACCCAAACTTTCCGTTCAGCGTGGGACCCATACCAAAGCAACCGCTATCATTGGTGGGAAGAGCTAGCCGGCAGCCCATCACCGCACGATGCCGCATGCGGTAAAATAAAGCCGGATTTTGTTGCCTCGAAGCAGGTCTAATATTATGGAAAAACAATCACTACTCCACAAGACTTTTACGATGATCTGGAGATACTGTATTGGATTAAATAGTCCACGTCGCCCCACCGGGTTTCCGTACGAAAGCATACACAAGATAGTTGGATGATATAGCTCAACCGTGTATTGCAATATACATGAACTACGTTTACTTTAATTTGAATGTCTTTTGTATCGCATCACACTCAATCGTGCTGAAAAAAAAAAACTTACGTGTATTGGTTCGGAAAAAATGCAAGTCCACGTCACGATAGCCTGCTTTACAAAGCTCGGTTCCAGCGCTGATCATCGCCGGCAGGCTCTTCACAACCGTCTTTGTTTCCGTGAAGGAATGATTTGGCAGTGCAAGACACATCCAACCTGACCACGAGAATGGGCAAGCGATCGACGCGAACATGTCGCCGGGCTTTCAATCTTCAGGTGGCAGGTCTGATCAGGTCACTCCCCGACTGAGCACTACGTCGTGCAAGTGTTGCCGAGAGAGCAATGCACAATGCGATAGGGGCTGTACGGCGCATATTGCATTGGAATGCATTCTCGATGTATTGACTGTATCCAGGATAAAACTCTGCGTCAGCAGTCACGAGGCTATGTAGGTATAGTTCCCACGGGATGGATGGCATATAAAGCTAGCGAGGGAACACTACGAAAATTGCTCAGCCCCAACACCTATCCGAACCATTTTCTGCCATTGTTCGCCAACGTGATGTCTACTATACTGCCCTAAGACGCGTTTTTGGGTCTGCGGGGTCCCCCCGGTGTCCTGGCTACTGATGCGGCATGACGGAAAAAGGCGAGCCGTGCGAAAACTCGATCAAACTCGAAGACACCAAGATAGGTCGTCAAAAGTTGGCCGCTCTCGCCATAGAGACATTCGACTTGTCAACCTTGCGAACCAAGCTCTGTGATGTTACCAGAGACTTCCTCTGCGCAAGATGGCGTCGGCAACGGCAGGCCGACCATCTTGGCCACCAGTGGTATGATGCAGCCGTCTTCAACCAGGCGTGAGAGCTACAGGACCCTGGGGTGACCTCCCCATCAGTTGCTACTCATACGAGTCAGAATCGTATACCGTCAGCCTCCAGTCGACGCCTCACGGAATCAGACAACACTCGCCGGTTCCCCGTCAGACAGCTCCGAGCCAGTGCAGTCAAACAGCTCCTTTATCAATGCTGCAATTCTGCGAACGAACAATGTCCCGTGGCAAGTTTCGCCGGCTCGATCAGCTGTTCTGTTGTCGGCCACTACGTTCGAGAAAGGATTCCTGTGCGTAAGTGGTGAAATTGAATCTGTTTCATCCTGTAATCGAAAAACATCCGTTGTCTTTCTATCCCCTGTTCTAACCGATGGTGCTGCCCATGGCTGACATATATCCTTCCCGCCTATCAATCATAGATGTATACACATGGGATGACCACACCGTCGGTAGGCAAACGCCATGGATTCGCTAGAACATCAACGGGCACCCTGGGTTGCCTAGACATTGTATGCGGCGCGGAATCTTTCACAGGCATATGTAACCTTCTCTCCTTTGGCCCAAAGCGTCTCTCCAATTTCCATCAGCCGGTTATATTTGGCCACTCTCTCACCGCGACATGGTGCCTCTGAGCTGATATGGCCAGTCCGCAGTCCAATAACTAAGTCCGCGATGAAGTCGTCGGTGGTTTCACCAGAGCGATGAGACACGAACACTCTATGTGTTCGCTCCAACCATACCTAATGCTAGGTTTGCCCTATTGAAAGTCAGTATCGCATATTATGTAGTCAGTGCGGGTGAACAAACGCTTTGAGAGCTTCAGATATCGTGCCTATCTGGTTGATCTTGAGCAACATGGAATCGCACGCTGTCTTCACGTGGGCTTCTTGGACATAGATCGTGTTTGTCACAAGTAAATCATCGCCAACTAGTTCAATAGGGCAATTTTTGCGAAATTCCGTCCAGCTGGCCCAATCATCCTCCGCGAATGGATCTTCAAGTAGGACAATTGGATATTTTGTGAGAAGCGAATGGTATATATCCATGAGTTGCTTTGCACTTTGTCGGTTTGACTTATCATCTTTGAATCCAATGTCATAAGCTCCATCCTTGAAGAACTCGCTCGAAGCAGGATCGATGGCGAATTTGACTTTTCTTTCGTATCCAGCATCCAATACTGCTTAGACCACAAATCAAGAGCCTCGTGAGGTTGTGAGATAGGTGGGACAAAGCCACTTTCATCGCCGATACCGATGGCTAGATTGATACTGTTAGTGCTATTTTTCATATACATAAGGTTTTGTCCACAAACTGACTCGAGGCTCCAAACTTCTTAGTAAAGACCTTCAAGTGTTGGTAAACTTCACTGCCCATTCACACGGCTTCAGCAATAGAAGTGGCTGCGACTGGAGCAATCATGGTCTCTTGGAATGCCGTTTTATTTTCTGGATGCACGCCCCCATTAAGGACATTAAAGAACGGAACTGGCAATACATAGGGCGTTTTCGCACCAGATTCACGCCGGAGATATTCGTACAGTCGTAAGCCCTGCTTCCATTAGTTCTGTCCGCAACTTTTATTCCCCAATGTTCCTAACCGAGGCAGCTGCACCAGCTCGTGCACAAGCCATACTGACACCCAAAATAGCGTTGGCGCCAAGGTTGGCTTTATTCTTGGTACCATCTAAGGCGTTGGGAAGTTCATCGATTTTCGCCTGGTCTGTATCCACTTGGAGGCCGCTCTTAATTAGGGCGGGGGCAATGATGTTCTCGACGTTTTGAGATAGCTTTCTCTACGCTTTTGCCACCGTACTTAATTGAGTCGCATCCCGGAGTTCAACGGCTTCATTGGCACCTGTTGAGGCGCCCGAGGGAACGATAGCGCGGAACGTGCCTGATCTCAGAGTGAGCCATATCAATGCGCCGTTTCTGTTCTCGTGTCCCACCTTGGTTGATGGTTAATTCGACTTGGACCGTGGGGTTGCCCCTTGAACCTAATCGTTGAGCGGCCTTGATTGATTTGATCATTGCGGTAGATTGCAGATATTTGGAGCGGGAAAGAAACCGGAGAAATGCAAAAAGTGAACAATATTGAAATCTACTCAGAAAGTCTGTCCTAACAATGACGTTCGACTAATGACATCAGCACACCTGCCATTGACTGAAGATATCATTTATGCGGGACATTCCGCTCGTGGTGGATTGCCGACAATTGCGCCTCGGGCATCCCTGCTAGACCATTTCGGAATACTTGAAATCTACCTTGCTAGCTTTTGTATCCCAGTTCTGCTGTTGACTATCTAATCAGATTATTGATGTGATGTCGTGAAGTGCCCTGAACGCAGTGAAATCGTAACATGTATACACAGCAAAGGATCGCTCTACAGTTGGGAGTAACTTGATCGCGATGTGATCGAGAAACTTGGTCATAGCAAGCGAGAAAAAAAAACCCCACAAACGAGGATCGACCAGGTATCAAGTCGAGCCATGCCGTCCCCTGAAGAGCGATTGGTCGAGGGAAGGGTATTTCGCCATTTCCCCTCTGTCTACCGTTCCACCGGCTCTGGTGCCGTGATCTCACTCAAAGCACCGTATTGACCTTCGCTGTCATTTCCACCATGGTGTGAAGCATTTGATAATTGCTGCTTGAGGTTTTTGTGACGTGAGAGCTCCTCCTCAGAGAAACGTTTTACTGGTTCGGGGGCTGCAACTTCGCTCAGTCCGCAGGGAACATCGTCTGATTCTCCCGCATGTGGTTGCTTTGCATGCAGTTGCTTTGCATGCAGGGCGTTTTGGCTTCTGTTCTCATTTCCCCTAGAAGGCTTATTTTTCTTCAAACTGTGGTGTGATCGGAGCTTTTGGAGGAGCCCCATCTTATGCAATAATGTGCCAGGTATGTTTGAAGGATGGCCAGCGTAGGTGTGATTATCTCGTTGGAGTCTGTTGCGCGGGGTAAAAGAAGCAGAGTGACGAAAATCCCAATTTCTATCGCTTATTGGACTCTGGTTTGTACTGACTACCTTTAGCCGTCTTTGCCGGTCTTGCCGGTCTACCCAGCAAAGGTCAGAATAAGAAGGTCGTGTGTCGTATCACTCGGCAGACAATCACATCTGTTCTCGCTTAATATAATCAGCTGCTTGTCTATGCATGATCCTGTTTCTCTCCCGTTTTTGCCAGCTCCCCAAGCCACCTTCACGGGTGGATAAACTTGGTCGCGGAAAGGAGGGAACGTATGTAAATAGCAGACGTATCGAAATGTCTTGCCTACGAACGCTTCACTACGCTGAGACCTCACCAAGGTCCATCAACGTGGTAGACTTAAGCATCGCTAGCTTGCACACCATTATAGCGGATCTGAACCGGTTGTCTGCGATCCCGCAAAACCAGTGCCTGCTCATCGCAGAGCTGCAGAAGGATGTCGCTGTTGTTTGCTAGCCACTCATTTGGCTCTTGAAGCTGTCGCTGCTCATGCTCGAGTCGCCATTTCTCGGCAGTTTTGGCGACGTAGCATTCCCACAGGCAAAAGTGCAAGTCGAGCAGTTTGAGGGCTGGTGTAGTGAGCGTTTCATTTTGGCGCAGAAGTTCCATGAACTCCGCCGTAAGGGCACCGGGTGTGCTCACTGGGATCTGTGCAGTATTAGTGATTTTCTTCGTTTTCTCTCGATGTATGTCTGACCGACCTTGGGTCCGATGATTGTGCCATCTGATCATGGCAGCGTACCTTAGCTCTACCTTCGTTAAGCACCGGACGAGACTCAAGAGCTAGTGCCCGCAGCAGGATTAGGTATTTAAGTGATTCTCGCACCAACCACCAGATATTGTAAAATGCATTATACATCTGCAGCCATAGCTAAGCATCTCTCTTACCTGAGATTTTTCTATACAAGTACGCGGTGAAATTTGAAAATAGATGTCTTGCCCAATTCCACTTTTGGTATAAATAACTAGTCTCCCTCACATACTTAATCCATTCAGCCTCTCGGGATGAGAGAAGTGCAACAAAGGTATCTGCCAGAAGGGGAGCTAAGGCTTTACATTGTACCCTTCAGGTGAGAAACGATCAGTCCCTCGGAGCAGACCCGATCCGTAAGTACGAAATTTTAGATTAATTCTGTGATAAGGGGTCCAAGCGATAGACGAGTTTCCTCTACATAGTTATAGTCAGCCAATAATATGGTCAATGTGATCACATAGCCACGAAACATGTCTTTATTTCAGTGGAGAAAGGGAATGAGGAGCAAAAGGATGCTAGGCTATGCAGGTATCTCAGCAGGGACGAGGCAACGCCGAGCTTAGTTGGGATTATCAGGTGTGATACTATCGATCAGAGGGTCTGACCGAAGCTTTCGGAGGGCCGGTTAGAACGCAAAATAGTAAATCATCCGAGGAAGCATCGTAGTAGACAGAAGACTACGTGAATCCTCTGGCGATCAAGTCTGGTAGCCTGCTGATTACATTAACACCATCTCAGTTGATCTTTCGGATGTAGGAACTGATCTGCTCAGTTGCGACCGAGTCCTGAAAGGTTGCCTGTCTTTGTTAGTGGGGATTTTAGGGGACAAAGAGAAGTACAGTATAATGAGTAGCCATCTTGTGGGCTTTTTGCTGAATGGAAGAATTAAGGCTCAGGTTGCAGAATATTCCTTGGCGGTAGGTAAAACTGGGTATACCACTAAAATTCGCATGGTTGAACCGAGAAAGCATCATGACGTCATCGAACACGGAACCCTGTTATGGGGTGCCGTTTTCGACGGCTGGTGACATTATAGGAAATGTTATTCCGCACTAAGAGACCCTCGCGCTAAGAGACAGTATTGATGACATCAATTCGTGCTGGACGCCAATTCAAGCCGCAGCTATCTATTGCAGCGCGAGAAATAATTGTTCGTCTTCAAATATGAGCCGAAATACATATTGAAACGCCCAGACCTGAAACTATACCTTGATTAGTTCACTTCACCAATTGCCTCTCAGCTGATAGTCAAGACATATGCTTACTCTTTATCCATTCGAAGATCGAGGTTTTCTATAAAGACACACACAAAGATAAATATGACCGCTATTACAGGTGGGTATCTCTCTGCACAGGAAGTACCTAGACAGCTCTACCATAATCACCCATCAGGTGGCTTGTGCGGTAATTATCAGCCACGCTGGAAGCCACGATGTCTCATTCAAGTGAATTAGACCTTAGAAAGAGAGTTTCCGGGGAAGGCCGATAACCATTAGCGCCCCTCTGTCTGGTATTGTTCGGTGATATAAAATGACGAGGGGGGTAAATTTCTGCACCGTCTTGTTTCTGGGCATATAAACCCACATATCTTTGTGTTTCGTAGCAGTCTCCCAACGCTGTCTGTCATTGCCTATGCATCGCTTGATTCACCTGCACCGGCGTCACGGCGAGGAAAAGAAGCAGCAGAGCCAAGGACCGCCTGCATGTCCCAGGGAGCGGTCTAGCAAGGGCGATCTGACCACGCCGTCTACCAAGCTGAATGTTCTGGTTGAGGCCCCACCCATCATCCTCTACGGGCCACCGGCTAGTTCCACCGGTGCACTGTTTTCTGGCCACCTGCGCATCGCTGTCGCAGAACTAGCCGGTGAAATAACTCTGAACCAATTCGAGGTGCGCGTCATCTACAAGACGAACACTAAGAAGCCCATGTCGAATCACTACCAATATTGCACCACTCGAACTAAGGAATTTCCTCACCGAATCTCTTCTCCTCAACACCGATAACCATGCCTTCCCTTTTAGCTTCCTATTGCCAGGTCACCTCCCCGCCTCCTGCAGCTGCATGCTCGGCCAAGTCGGATATTTTCTGCAGGCTCTGCGCGTGCGCACGCGCAGAGCTCCGTCCGTGAGGAATTGATGCTGAAGCTACCACTCCGCGTCCACCGTGCCCTCTTGCCGGGCAACGAGAAGTCATCCACTCGATCGTTCCCACCATCTAACCTCACTGGCGGCATTGTACGGCCTTCAGTCATCCACCCCATTGGCAAATTCCCCGTAGAATTGACTTTAGAAGGGCGTGGCTTGCAAGGGCGATGGTACATATGCTCGCTGGCGCCTTCGAATGATGATATGGCGGATCGCAGAGCATCAGAAGATTATCTCGTCCGATGTCAGAAACATGCCAACAAGATATATGGCGGGATCAAGGGCATTATACACCAAGCGACTCGCATCATCGACCACGGTGAAGAGAAGAGTGGGTGGAAGACGGACTTTGACACCGCCGGTGGTACGATCAGCATGCAATTTGAGGCCGGAATCAACCCGATGACCAAACCCGCGTGCGGCATGAAAGTTCGCGGCGGTCTAGAAGTCAGGCACAGCCTCGTCATTGAACTAATCGTGGTCCAGGACTTCTATTCAAATCGTAACATCACTCCTTTCAAACCTACCGGCGCTGCTCGTCTACTACGCATGCAGTTCCGTCTCCATGTCACGGAGCACAGTGGTCTCGGTATCAGCTGGGATATGGAGATGCCTCCGGTCTACGGTGATGTCCGCGTCAGCGCTCCGAAATACGCTGAGCTGGATGACACAAACAGTGCCAAGGAAGACTATCGCATGTCTCCACTTTCGCATCCAGACTATGAGGAGCTGGAACGTGTGGGCTAAGCCATGGCAGTCTACGTGCAAGACAGCCCCGATTAATAACTACGGCGCCAGTGGATGCAATGTGGCAATGATTGTCATCGAGTCTCCCTCCCCCCAGCCGCGGGCTGTCCAGATCACTACAGAGAAGACGATGAATCTTCCCTTCTGCATTACCGGGCGCACTGTAAACATGGTCAAGTTGTGAACATGGTCAAGAGTTCTCTGCAAGGTCTACCACAGCCCAGAAGATAAAATGAGCAAATTGCCCAGTTTCGTTGTCAGCCGCATACAGCTGCACAGAGATGCCCGCTATTGCCCGCTCGACCCCTTCGTTTCACCGTGCATATAATGTGGGGTCAGCGGCCACCACGTGGGCCGCAGCACCGCAGATCATCCCCGCCGGTAAATACTTCGACTTTCTGGATTGCGTTGTGGACCCCGTCAAAGTAGAACATATCGCTGACCGAAGGCATACTTCTATAGATGTGCCAAGTCGCTGCCAAACCGCCCCATATACCATTGGTAGATTGGATGCCCTTCCATGATTGGTGCTACGGAGGGCGAGGCTCTGGAATCTCTCCGTGTGCCGTGTCATTTGCAGCGTAACTGGCTGATCGAGTTACTGCACTCTAGACCGAGTCTTGTTGCGGTTCTTCAGCCGCATGATCCTGTCGTGTAAATCGGCGTAGGGACCCCGCTGCTCTGTGCCATCCTGGTCATCTGGACGAGATCGGACCTCGCTGAGGATGTCCGCTGTTGACGTCCACGTTCGTTGGCGACTATTCTCAGTCCCCCAGGTGAGAAGAAAGGAATCCTGTATTTGTGTAAATCGCTTCATGAATGCTATATGTACAATGGGTTTGTCACAAGTGGCCTGGCCGACCCGACAACGGGTCATGCATGCGATTATGTTCCAGATTAGTGGATGACCCAGTCAACCACTCCAATTCTCAAAGCCCCACCTTCCGCTGCACCCAAGCAAGGGCAGTCTCCCACCTCGGATCCTCTGACCTCAAAGCACCAAACAACTCCGAAAATAGCGCTCTCCCGACTTCCGCGCCCACCACCGCTGCCCATCAAGCTCCCTCAACAACACCCCCCAATACATGAGAATTAGCAAC